CTTCCTGAGTCTGCTTTCTTTTTCTGATCTGGGACTCAGATCAATGTCACCTCCTCCAGGCTCTTCCCTAAAGCCACCACCAATCACATACACACTCACACACACACACACACACACACAGATACAATATTCTCTGTCACAAGCTTGGAGGGTTCATGGTAGGTGTGGGAATTAAAGGAGAAGCCTGGAGCATAAGTAGAAAGGGTATTGAAGGTGGAGGTGACAGCAACATCTGAGGGTCTTGGTCACATCTCTGTGAAGCCCTGCAGTGACTGTTCACCTCACTTGGAATATGAGGCTCAGTCCTTATAGAACCTGAAAGGATCCACATGATCTGGTCCCTGTCACCCCTATGACCTCACTAGGTCCTTTCCCTGTTCTTTCTCCCCTGGTCATCCAGATCTCCTCAGAAATTTTCAATCACACCTTAGACTGCAGGGCTTTTGCCTGGTTGCTTCCTACTGAAACACTTCACCACTGATAAAAATTTTTAAAAAAGAAAGAAAGAAAGACAGAATGTGTGACCAGCAGGTGACATAATGGTTACCTTGCTGGACTTCCACATAGTCGACAGTGGTTTGTGTTCCAGACCTGGCATTTAAAACTTATGCTGGGCACCTGTGCATGAATGCTCAAGACCCTGAGAGGAAAATGGAGGAGAAGGGATTGGTGCATGACCATCTCCTCAAGGGGGTCATTTCTCACTTTCTGTCTCTCTCTGTCTCTTTAGCAAGCGTGTGTGCCCTACAGCAAAAATCTCTCTTAAATAAAAAAGTAATGAGGACCAGCAGTTAGCATAATGGCTATGTCGCTGGACTCCCATGTGCTTGACCATGGTTCAAGTCCCAGACCCGGTGGCTTAAACTGTCGCCGGGCACGTGTGCGTGTGTGCCTAAGATCCCAAGAGGAGAATGGAGGAGAAGGGATTGCGGTGTGGCCATCCCCCTTGGGGGGTGATTTCTAGCTTTCTGTCTCTGTCTGTCTGGAGAGCGCATGCACCTATAGCAAAAACCTCTTAAAAAAAAGTAATAAATGAATAAATGTAAGATTCTATCACCTTCAGGTCTCTTGTGCAGTTGTTTGGAGGGAGCTCTGGAATTCTGACTGTATCCTTCAGTCTTATCAGGTGAAGACAGTTCTGAACACATTTCCTTGGAACACTCTGGTAGGATGCAATTACATTATGGTGGGATCAAGGTTCATTTTAGCTTCTCCCCCACACTCACCTTTCCTTTCTTCTGTCTCTAGGCGGTACTCACCACAGTCCTCATGCGTGATATCCATAGAGAAAGGTATGGGGTCCCTTATGCGGCAGATTTCCATCCAGTGCCACATATCTGATCTGGTGGAGATAGAGGAAGGAGTCACAACTGTCCTAGGAAAAACTCCTAGTGTTGAGACAAGGACCACAAAAGAGAGGTCTTGTAAGATTCACAAGAGTTTTTGTTTATTTATTTCTTCCATGATGGAGTCAGACATACAGTACTCACAGGCAATTTATGCCATAATTCAATCCTGCCTCATGAGTGTGATCAACATCCACAGAGAGGTCCCTAAACTCAAACCTAGAACCTTCTCGTGAGGGTCAGCCTCACAGTACATTGTTTTTTTTGTTTTTTTTTTTTTACCAAACTCCCCTACACCACCAAACACACCACCAGTGTGTATATATTCTGGAGCTACAACTCACAGTGATATAGTTTGGAGTAGTCAGTGGGTGGAGCAGCTATGGTGGTTGGTGAGAAAGGAAAATCAGGAGACCAGCAGATGGAGTTATGGTTATGTTGCTGGACTCCTGTGTAGTATACAGCAGTTCGAGTCCAGGACCTGTAGCTTAACTCAAACCTGTCAAGTGTGCATGGATGCCCAAGATCAGGAGAGTAGAATGAAGGAGAAGGGATTACAGCGTGTTCATACCTCTTAGGAGGTGATTTCTTGCTTTCTGTCTTTGTCTTTCTGGCGAGCACAGGCACCCTATAGCAAAAACATCTCAAAAAAAAAAAAAAGTGGTTAAAGATAGTGGATTTACAATGGCGAACAGCGGTTCAAGTCCCAAACCTGTCAGCTTGCTTTCCTTTTCTCTCTCTGGTCAAATTTTAAAAACAATAACAACAAATATAAATAAATAAATAAATACAAATTTAAAAAAGAAAGAAAAGAAAAGAAAGAAAAGAAAAAAAAAGAAAGGAAAGGAAAGTAAGAATGAAGGGGGTCCAAGTGGGTCTGCAACCTGCTGGGCCTGGACCAGTCCAAAATCTGTAGCCACAGCTCACTGTCCAGGGAAG